CTACATAGCTTTTTTATTTAGCGATAAAACATTTTCCTAATACTTGTATAATGTTAGCTATACATAGATCATTTCTGGTTCACCTAAGCATTATACATTAATGTATTTAGGGGTAAATTAATATTTACTTCTTGTCAGAGCAAACTTCAAGTGGCCTAAAAACCCTCAGTGGATTTATAACGCTAAAACTCGGGTTTCGATATTCGTGGTGGAGACAGCACATGTAGTCCAATAGTGTAGCTTTGTGCTTAACTACAAACAAACAAGTGTCCTGAATACATTTTTATCAAACTATAGCAATAATGTACAAATAAAGCCTAACATTTCTTGATAGTTTTCTTTACATAATTTCCGATGTTATCGATAACCAGAAAAAATATAAATAAGAATTACTGAAATTCGTCGTTTTTTTAAATAGGGCTTGACCTTAGTTACTGTTTTTGTTTTTTGCTACGATCTAGCCAAACGTCAATGATGAAAGGGGATATTCTCCCTCACGAAAATCGGTCCAACTCAAAGTAGAAGCTAAAAAAAAAAAGATAGATAAAAAATTTAGATAAATAAATATCATTATTCCTCTCTCGCTACGCCATAAACTTTGGGAGGAATTTTTCTTATATTTTACAGAAAGTAATATTTAAAAAAAAAGGTTAATTTGTATCAGAATTATTACTCGTTCCCTAGACCGCTTTAGTATAGTAAGGTGTAAGTTTATGGTAAGGAAAAGTCACCCAGAAGCAGTATTAAACTTTAACAGTTAGTTACACACTAACAAAACACATCGTATGTACACGTGTTATAAAATAACCACATATACTAACTCAGGTAAGTAACGAACCGGTAAATTTTTTTATTATATTTTTTTTGAACAAACATGATTTATGTGGTTAAAAATTAAGTTTTTTTCTGCACCTGTTTACTGAAAAGCAATGGATTCTAAACTGTGGTATGAATTCTGTTAACATGTTATATCGATTTTGAGTTCACTGACTCAGAAGCAAAATGTGTATCCTAAAATGGACACAGTTGATAATAACCCGACCTTGTCAGAAGTGCACCTGCCCAAGGCAAGCGAAAATTATGAAGGTTTCTGGAAAATATATTTACAAATAGCAACCATTTGAGCCTATTTTGATGGAAATCGGTTTTAAAAAAGTGAAACGAATGTGAAAAAATACGCAGCTTTAATGGCCAACTTAACCTTAATCTTTTTATCTTGTCTTTTCGACTCTTTTATCTCCTATTACCAAATTCGATTTATAATTTTTATCTGTTTATGGGTCTAAAGCTCAATTAATCGTAAACTTAACTAATTTTGTGGGGGAGGAATCAGATTAAAAAGGCACTTACCTAAAGTTTATCGAAATATACTTATGAAAGTTGATGAAAATAATTGTATTATAATTAATGTTTTTTTAAATAAACATAATATTAATGAAGGACTGGTACATGTTCCGCGTTTATTAATAAATAAACCAACGTTAAATTATTCGGTGACTTATGTATTACTATATTATTAATACTTTATATAAATGACCTGTAGATAGCGCTGCAATTTACATAAGCCTAGAAGATGCGTATTAGTTGTGATAAAATAATACTTAGCCCTTAGAAATGCCAAAGAAGTTTTAAAACGATCATCACTTACTGAGTTAGAGTAAACTGGTAAATGTTATCCAAAATACGAATTTTGACGTTATATCTAATATCATGAATATTTTTATGACGTTGTTGTTGTGAACAAAAGCAACAGGACATTCAGTCAACCGTTCAAATACACAAGAGTTCACTGGCATCTTGTGACCAGCTGCGAAGGTTTCACGTACCTGTAGGGTTAGTAAGCGAAGAGCAGCGTGGCCTGCAATGGAATCAGGCTCGGTAATAGCCGAAGGCGTGCGCATGTCCCACGGATAGAAACGGTCTCTCATCACATACTGTGAAAACAAACAAAAAAAAGAAACGGTTCAATAAAATGAAGCATTTACTATTTATAAAAGTTGTATTCTTTCGTGTGAATGTGTAATTATCTGTTCTTCTATGTCGAGTATCACAAGTCCTAGGGTTAATCTTATAATTTATGTGTACAATATACAGTCAATCATTCTATCTAATTATTAGTTTTCCCTACAAGTATATACACCTCAAGGAAATGTAAGTTACTAATAATAGTTTTACGGTATTAACAAGATGCATTTAATATATATATATATATATATATATTATCGTATGATCATATTAGCCATAACAATTACATTAATAATATTAATACTACCTGTGAGATATTATTACTGCTACCATAAAAAACAACTACTACTTTTACAGTAATTCTTTCGAGTACATCATAAACTCAAAGTTTATTCAGTAGAGTGTATCAATTCATAAACATCAACAAAAAATACGCCAATTGCACGAATGAAAAAAAAAAAACAACACAAAACACGCAAATAAACTATTTAGATATACTCACCATTATAATACGCAACAACACGAAACCAGCGCTGGCTGCAATATCGACAGCAGCGAACACAGCGAGTAAAAGGACTGTCTTCAGAGAAACGCCACCCTGTGAAGAAAAGATGAAATTAGCCGTTCCAGGAATAGTATAAATGTCAATAATTATGTCGCAGATAAAAAGCTCACATACCTATAGTAGGTTGAAGATCTAAATTTACAAGTATCTCTTGAGTATCAGTGACTCTGATGGTGAGCTTGTGTGAATTTATACACAATGGGCTATCTGTGTCATGCCCATCTTTATAAGCCCCTAAGCTTACCGAGAGAAGCCACTAAGTGAATACCTCCAACACTTTATACAATCCGTGTTTCCATACATTTAAAAGTATTTTATTACTCAGAAGATTTTGAAGAATGATTAAATATCTTATTTACAATTAAAATAGAATTGTATATATGTTATACTGATTATCATTATCAATAATTATCTGTAATTCTGATCAAACTAAGTTACTTGCTTAGATCTGAGCTCAAAATAAACCTAGTAGTTAATGTAGACAATTTAATATTCCGCACTAACTGGATGTCTGCAACGTCATAAAAAAAGAGATCTACAAAGATTGTAATGCATTGATTTATCAGTTGGGTATCTTGCTGTTAGCGATATTTTCAGCCGTTATCCCAGTAATATCTCACCATGTTCAGCCCACTCAGGAGATTTAGAAATGGCCTGAAAACTATGTAATAAGCTAACAATGCAAAATAATCACCATAAGTATAAATAAAAAAATAATGATAATATGACAAATAAATAAATGTTACTAAAATTAGAGCAACCAAAGCTCCCAACATGTGACGTATCTGATAATATACCTCCATACTAACAGCAGTAATTCACTTTTGTGGTATTCGGGGTGAACTACCACCATAGGAAGTAATTGTAAGTAATTATTGGATCATCTGTGATGTAAGCACGAGAACGTGGCTTTTCTGCTGTGTATTGTTGCACTGACAGACTTGTAACAAGTATTGTTGTGCAATTTACAATGTATATTGT